GGTACCAAGCACCAATAGGAGATTTGCCCCCTCCACTCAGAGTTACTTCCTTGGGTCACCAATTTGTCAACCAAGAGTATCTGAGACAGGTTTCAATCAATTTAGAAAGCTTATATTGCCAAGGTTAACAACGTGCCTGTGACACAGCCTCAGGAAATCCTGATGACATGTGCCCAAGGTGGTCTAAGTACAGTTTGGTTTTACACATTTTAGGGAGATATGAGACATCAATCAATATATGAAAGATGTGGGCCAGGCGCAGTGGCTCACTCCTGTAATCCCAACAATTTGGGAGGCCAAGGCGGGCAGATCACAACATCGGGAGTTGGAAACCAGCCTGGCCAACATGGTGAAAGCCTGTCTCTACTAAAAATACAAAAATTAGCCAGGTGTGGTGGTGCGTGTCTGTAATCTCAGCTACTCGGGAGGCTGAGGCAGGAGATTTGCTTGAACTCGAGAGGTGGAGGTTGCAGTGAGCTGAGATAGGACCACTGCACTCCAGCCTGGGTGACAGAGTGAGACTCTGTCTCAAGTTTTAAAAATAAAATAAAATAGGAATACATGAAAGATGTACATCGATTTGGTCTGGAAAGTCACACACCTCAATCAGGGAGGAAGCTTCTAGGTCATAGGTAGATAACAGACAAACTGTTGCATTCTTTTGGAGTTTCTGATTAGGCTTTCACTGAATTTGTGATTTATAGGAATAGTCACTTATGCCTTAGTCTGGCTTAGTGAAACAATAAGACAAAGGAAAAAATCAGATATGCATTTGTGTCACACGAGCAGAGGGATGACATTGCGTTCTGTCTGTCCTTTGTCCACAAGGAATTTCCTTGTAGGTAAATTTTTTTTTTTTTTTTTTTTTGAGACGGAGTCTCGCTCTGTCACCCGGGCTGGAGTGCAGTGGCCGGATCTCAGCTCACTGCAAGCTCCGCCTCCCGGGTTCACGCCATTCTCCTGCCTCAGCCTCCCGAGTAGCTGGGACTACAGGCACCCGCCACCTCGCCCGGCTAGCTTTTTGTATTTTTTAGTAGAGATGGGGTTTCACCGTGTTAGCCAGGATGGTCTCGATCTCCTGACCTTGTGATCCGCCCATCTCAGCCTCCCAAAGTGCTGGGATTACAGGCTTGAGCCACCGCGCCCGGCTCCTTGTAGGTAAATTTTAAGGAAGGTATGTAGCTTTTAAAAATCTTTGTAGCTATCTTATTTAGGAATAAGGAATAAAATGGGAGGCACATTTGCCTGACATAGTTCCCAGCTTGACTTTTCCCTTGGCTAAGTAATTTTGGGGTCCGAGATTTATTTTCCTATTACACCTCCTTGTAATATCATTATAAGAGAACTGCAAATTAATATGGATTTTTTCAAATAAGTTAAAGTAGCAACTACTTTGTGTGTGTGTGTGTGTGTGTGTGTGTATGTGTGTGTCAGAATCTCATTCTGCCACCCAGACTGGAGTGCAGTGGTGTGATCATGGCTTATTGCAGCCTCAACCTCCCCATGCTCAGGTGATCCTCTCACCTCAGCCTCCTGATAGCTGGGACTACAGGCATGTACCATCATGCCTGGCTAATTTTTGTATTTTTTGTAGAGACAGGATTTTGCCATATTGCCCAGGCCAGTCTCAAACTGGTCTCAAGTGATCCTCCCACCTCAGCCTGCCGAAATGCCAGGATTACAGGCATGAGTCACTGAGCCCATCCAGGAAGTACTTTCATCTCTTGAGTATATATTATAGCCTGTGTCACAAAAAAAAAAAAAAAAAAAAAAAGAATGTACATATTCTAACACAGATGGAACAATGAAAATATTTACTACTGTCAAAAAACAAATTTGGACATTGGTTAGAAGAGATTCTATTCAAAAAGTATATTGTGGTAGGGAGAAGGCTCCAACCACAAGATCTGCAAATGTTTGAGTTACAAGAAACGGGCTTTTCTTTTCTCTAAAGAAGGAAGCAAGGCTAGAAGGCACCAGGTATGGAGCAGAGAATGAGCATCTGCTGTGACCTACTCAGGGAATTTTTTTTTTTTTTTTTTTGAGACAGTCTCGTTCTGTCGCCCAGGTGGGAGTGCAGTATCACGATCTCAGTTCACTGCAACCTCTGCCTCCTGGGTTCAAACTATTCTCCTCCCTCAGCCTCCCGAATAGCTGAGACTACGGGTGCGTGCCACCACGCCCAGCTCATTTCTGTATCTTTAGTAGAGACAGGATTTCACCATGTTGGCCAGGATGGTCTCAATCTCTTGACCTCATGATCCGCCCACCTTGGCCTCCCAAAGTGCCAAGATTACAGGCATGAGCCACCGCACCCGGCTCAGGGAATGTTTTATCCTAAGGTCAGCCTACTCTTGGGAGGGGATATTAAGGAGGAGAAGTTGTTCTAAATCACAGTGGCCAAGCGTGATCAAGGAGGAGAGGCTGTGAAATTTCAGTGCCCAAGAGTGACCCAATAGTCAGAGACCTTGAAGTAAGAGAGAAGCCTAAATAAGATTTGATTAAGTCAAGTAAACAAGCATTGTTCCCACTGATCAATGTGGATAAACAATTGAGTAATCCTTGGTGAGACAAAGGGTGGGAAATTGGAGCTTTTTCCTATGTAAGCAAAGAAGGTATCATTAGACTTGAAGTACTCTGGGGAAAGTGGGGTTATTTGAACTAAGCTTTTAGGTTGGGCAGAGGAGTGGTTTCTGGTAGGTTTTTTTTGTTTTTTGTTATTTTTCCCCAAGGCACAGTCTGAAGAGGTCTCGAGAACATGTGACCTTCTGGTGGGTCCTTCAACCTTTGCTATTTACTAGTTTTACAGTGCTGTGGTAAACTTCAACATTGTCAGCACATATTATAACATCAAACAAAGATTTTAAAAAATAATAAATACACGTCTTCTACTTGAAAAACAGAACTAAAATAGTAAGAACAATAGCAGACTGCTCTTTACCTCAGTTTTTGAATGACATTAAAGGGTCCTCAGTGTGCATTCCGGCTGTGTGGTATTCATTTCTATCACATGCAAGACACTGATCGGTTCTTGTTGGAAGATACCGCTCTACATTTCCAACTTCAAGGGTCTCTGCAACTATCAAATGAAGCAGAAAGCCCGGGTCATATTAAGGAAAATATTGTCCCCTTATACATTTTTCTGCTGATCATGGGAAAACGTATTCTCACAGCTTCAAGAATTCTTTGGTCATAATTTGACAATAAAAACACTAATTTATATGTCAGATCCATGTCACATCCTCATATTCATCTAAATTTTCTTGACATCCTTTTTGGTAACAGCTGAGCCCTGATGAAGGAAGGTAATTGAGAAACATTTTCTCTCGTGATCAGAGAAATAACCTAATGAGAATAAACTTTTTTTGATTGGGTTTTTTTGTTTTTTGTTTGTTTTTGAGACAGGGTCTCTCTCTGTCCCCCAGGCTGGAGTGCAGTGGCATGATCACAGCTCACTGTACCCTCCACCTCCTGGGCTCAAGCTGTCCTCCCAGCTCAGCCTCCTCAGTAGCTGGGACTACGGGGTCACGACACTGTGCCCAGCTAATTTTTTTGTATTTTTTGTAGAGATGGGGTTTTGTCATGTTGCCCAGGCTGGTCCCAAACTTCTGAACTCAAGGGATCCTCCTGCGTCAGCCTCCCACTGTGCTGGGATTACAGGTGTGCACCACCATGCCCAGCTGAAAATAAAATTAAGGTGAAGAAAGTTGTTCTCGCCGGGCGCGGTGGCTCAAGCCTGTAATCCCAGCACTTTGGGAGGCCGAGACGGGCGGATCACAAGGTCAGGAGATCGAGACCATCCTGGCGAACACAGTGAAACCCTGTCTCTACTAAAAAAAATACAAAAAACAAGCCGGGCGAGGTGGCGGGTGCCTGTAGTCCCAGCTACTTGGGAGGCTGAGGCAGGAGAATGGCGTAAACCCGGGAGGCGGAGCTTGCAGTGAGCTGAGATCCAGCCACAGCACTCCAGCCTGGGCGACAGAGCAAGACTCCGTCTCAACAAAAAAATAAATAAAATAAAATAAAAAATAAATTAAAAAAAGAAAGTTGTTCTCTGTGACCTCAGGGGAAAAGCTTTAGGTAAATTTGCATTCAGATTGCTTATAGAAGAAACATACAGATGTGGATGAACTAGATACTACTTTAAAAGTCTTTCTAGCGCCAGGTGCAGTGGCTCACGCCTGTAATCCCATCACTTAAGGAGGCCGAGGCGGGTGGATCACGAGGTCAGGAGATCAAGACTATCCTGGTCAATGTGGTGAAACCCTGTCTCTACTAAAAATACAAAAATTAATTGGGTGTGGTGGCATGTGGCTGTAATCCCAGCTACTCGGGAGGCTGAGGCAGGAGAATCACTTGAACCAGGGAGTTGGCGGTTGCAGTGAGCCGAGATCACGCCACTGCACTCCAGCCTGGGTGACAGAGTGAGATACCGTCTCAATCAATCAATCAATCAATCAATCAATCAAGTCTTTCCGTCCACAAACCAGCTGTTGGAGTAGGTAGGTAGCCAGGCATGAGCAGTTAAGGAAAGGAATCTTTAGAAACAGAGCCCAGTGACAATCCCCTTGTGACAGCAAAAGCAGAACAGTGGCTACGTTGCCTACACTTGTCCTTGTGGCTGGGCTTGTCTGGCCCAGGAAAAGAATTATCAGGCCCTAGCCAGAAATAACCCAGCTAGCGGATTTTCCCTATTAAGAAGCATGCACACTCCTCTAATAATTCACCCTAGAATGGCCTTTTGCTCATTATAATACTAAGAAACACATCCTCCTTTTTTTCAAATACGATCCTAGAAAAAAATAAATAAAAGCCACACCCCTGGGTGGAGATTTGAGATGCTAATGAGACATGTGATGTGTGCACTAGCATGGACAGTCACAGCACATTCCTGCCCAGAGGACTTCCCGGAACATGCTTACTAATAATGCCTGTGCACGGCCCCTTCATGAATAATCATGTCAGGTTCTCATTAAAAGGGTCAGGCCAGCATTAGTAAGGACAGACTCCTTCTTTTCAGGAGCCCACCCAGTTCTGTTGTTCCAGGTGTCTCTTTTTTCTGAGATCCAATCTCTTTAAATGAAGGGCATTTACCCTTTAACTCTTTCTGCCAATCTCTTGACTGAATCCAAGAAGACCAAGAACCAGAGACCAACTTCCACACGCCTCCAGGTAACATCTGGTGTTTTCACCTGGTTACCTGGTTACCTGACGTGGTTAGCAAGGTAAGTGCCCAAAAGCTGGTGCCAGATTCTCTGGTTGACGACCTCTGCTTCTTTCTGCACTGAAGAACCTCCTGCCCTAACGCAGTTCTTGCAGCTTTAAGGGGAGGGGTTTCTCCTCTCAGGCTCTGTCCACTAACAACTGCCCCGTACCATTTCCCTTCAGCCACTGTCACTCTGCTCCCTCTGGCTGATTTCTCAGCTTACCCTGGGGGTGATAAGCAGAGGAGGGAGGACTTTAAACTCCACACTGAGTAGATCTGAGACACATAGTGACCCTCTCTTCAGGAGGCTTGTGAAAGTGGCAGGGAATATGCCTGGCTGTGCAATGACTGGGGAGTTTCATATGTTTTTGTGTTTTTTTTTTGTTTTTTTTTGTTGTTGTTGTTGTTGTTGTTTGTTTTTTGAGACGGAGTCTCGCTCTGTCGCCCAGGCTGGAGTGCAGTGGCGCGATCTCGGCTCACTGCAAGCTCCGCCTCCTGGGTTTACGCCATTCTCCTGCCTCAGCCTCCTGAGTAGCTGGGACTACAGGCGCCCACCACCACCACGCCCGGCTAATTTTTTGTATTTTTAGTAGAGACGGGGTTTCACCGTGGTCTCAATCTCCTGACCTTGTGATCCGCCTGCCTCGGCCTCCCAAAGTGCTGGGATTACAGGCGTGAGCCACCGCGCCCGGCCTGTTTTTGTGTTTTTTTTTGGGGGGGGGGGTACAGAGTCTCACTCTGTCACCCAGCCTGCAGTGCAGTGGCGTGATCTCAGCTCACTGCAACGTCTGCCTCCTGGATTCAAGCGATTCTTCTGCCTCAGACTCCAGAGTAGCTGGGACTACAGGCGTGTGCCACCATGCCCGGCTAATTTTTGTATTTTTAGTAGAGATGGGGTATCACCATATTGGCCTCGTGATCTGCCTGCCTCTGCCTCCCAAAGTGCTGGGATTACAGGTGTGAGCCATGGCGCCTGGACCATATCTTTTTTTTTTTTTTTTTGAGACAGAGTCTCGCTCTGTCACCCAGGCTGGAGTGCAGAGGCGCAATCTCGGCTCACTGCGAGCTCAGGCCATTCTCCTGCCTCAGCCTCCCGAGCAGCTGGGACTACAGGTGCCCGCCACCACGCCCGGCTAATTTTTTGTATTTTTAGTAGAGACGGGGTTTCCCAGTGTTAGCCAGGATGGTCTTGATCTCCTGACCTCGTGATCCACCCGCCTCAGCCTCCCAAAGTGCTGGGATTACAGGCGTGAGCCACCACGCCTGGCCCTGGACCATATCTTTTAACTAAAACTACAGTCCTGTGTTAAGTCAGCTCTTATACTTGCCGTTCATGGCCGTTCAATCCCCTGAACACAATATGCCCCCACCGGTGCTTAATCTCCCAGGTCACTCTGCTTATTCTTTGCTGTCCCTCTCCTTGCCGCCGGGATTTCATGAATTCTTCCTTTGGGTGCAAGACCCTTGCAGGGCCTGCTCATCCAGGACCTGCTGCGTTTGCTTCATTGCCAGGCGCCAGAGTCCTTTGAGGGCCTATGCTGATATTTATACTTTTTTCCTCAGAAATGAGACTCAGCTTTGTCCTTTCCCTTGCCTCCTTTTTCACTGGAGGGACCAGCACTGACAGGATGCTTAAAGAAATCCCCCATCTCGGCCAGGTGCGGTGGCTCATGCCTGTAATCCCCGTACTCTGAGAGGTTGAGAAGGGTGGATCACCTAAGGGCAGGAGTTCAAGACCAGCCTGGCCAACATGGTGAAACCCATCTCTACTAAACATACAAAAATTAGCTGGGCGTGCTGGCACACACTTGTAATCCCAGCTACTTGAGAGGCTAAGGCAAGAGAATTGCTTGAACCAGGGAGGCAGACGTTGCAGTGAGCCGAGATCACGGCATTGCACTCCAGCCTGGGCAACAAGAGCGAAACTCTGTCTCGAAAAAAAAGAAATCCCTCATTTATTATTGGGTCCGTGTCCACCTGACTACTCTTCAAAAATGCCTCGTTCTGTGACTTCTCAACTGGACTGCCTGGCTCCTCCAGAGAGTCACCTGTGACCACTTCCTTACTCCCTAGTTTCTCTGTACAACCAGGGTTTCCTATGGGCCACTGGGGACTTCTTTCTTCACCTCATTAGGCCATTGTAACAGACCCTTGAAGTACTCAGGTCCTTTTTGCTTTTTGTTGAATAAGCTGATGGAAAATGCTTCTCACATTCCCCTTGCTGTTTATGTGATCATATAATGGATCTAAAAAACCAGAATCAATAGCCCAGTTCACTAACTCTGAGCCCCAGGGGGCATCCATGCTTTTTAAGCATTTTTTTCTGTATAATCCCCGAGGAACCTTTGAAGAATGGGGGAAGATATCACATCTTTTCCATTCCTGTAATCATTAGTATTAGCCCAATATCATCATGTATTAAGAAGACCTAGGCTGGGTGCATTGGCTCACGCCTGTAATCCCAGCACTTTGGGAGGCCAAGGTGGGCGGATCACCCAAGGTCGTGAGTTGGAGACCAGCCTGACCAACATGGAGAAACCCCATATCAGCCGGGCACGGTGGCTGACGCCTATAATTCCAGCACTTTGGGAAGCTGAGGTGGGTGGATCACGAGGTCAGGAGTTCAAGACCAGCCTGGCCAATATGGTGGAACCCTGTCTCCACTAAAAAATTAGCCAGGCCTGGTGGCGTGCATCTGTAATCCCAGTTACTCGAGAGGCTGAGGCAGGAGAATCACTTGAACCCAGGAGGTGGAGGTTGCAGTTTGCTGAGATTTCACCATTGCACTCCAGCCTGGGTGACAAGAGAGATATTCCAGCTCAAAAAAGAAAAAAAATGCCATCCACAGTGGCTCATGCCTGTAATCCCAGTACTTTGAGAGGCTGAGGCGGGTGGATCATCTGAGGTCGGGAGTTCGAGACCAGCCTGACCAATATGGAGAAACCTCGTCTCTACTAAAAATACAAAATTAGCTGGGCATGGTGGTGCATGCCTGTAATCCCAGCTACTTGGTAGGCTTAGGCTGGAGAATCACTTGAACCTGGGAGGCGGAGATATGGTGAGTCGAGATCACACCATTGCACTCCAGCCTGGGCAACAAGAGCGAAACTCTGTGTCAAAAAACAAAACAAAACAAAAAACAAGCCATTCAGGAGTTCGGACAAAAAGGTACTGCCTGCTCTTGACCCTTTCAGTAATCAACAACCATTATACCAACCAGGGTCAAAAAACCTGATCAAAACCTGGAGAGATGGGTCACTTGGGTCTCAAGTCCCTATGGAAAGGCCCCTTTACTGTCTTACTTTCCACCCCAACAGCTGTCAACATTTCTGGCATCTCCAGTTGGATACATCAGTCCCGAGTAAAACTGTGGGAAGGTCCCGAAGAACCACAGAAGAACAACAGAATTCAGCACCTGAGCATTCTTGTGAGCCACTGGAGAACTTAAAAGTCCTAGTCAAGTCAAAAGATAAGTAAAGCCTTCTCTCTGTTCACCCAAAACTAAAGTCAGTCTCAGTACCGGGAATCTTGGTTGCGGTGGCATTGGTTATTCTCCTTATTTGGACCCACACTTCCATGCCACCTGAAGTCCCAATAGCCTGTTTTATCACCAAACACTCTATCTAACCATTTAATTATTTGTCTCTCCTATTTTCACCACTTTCCTTTTGCTTTCACAAAGCTTAAGGGAGAATCAGCTATGACAGAGAAATTCCTTTTCCTTTATCTTTGCCTCCTTCCCATGCCCCTACTCTCACAGGCACAATGGAGTGAAAATTCCCTTGTCAATTTTTCCAAAATTATTGCTTCGGGAAACCATCTAAGCAACTGTTGGATCTGTCACAACTTCATCACCAGGTCCTCATCTTACCAATATATTTTGCTAAGAAATTTTTCTTTAAACCTAACATTTGGTTCGGGAATCCCTGAAGGCCAACATAAATCTGTTCCACTCCAGGTTTCGCTTGTTAACTCAGCGTACCAAGTCCCCTGCCTGGATCTCACTCCACCTTTCAATCAAAGCTCTAAAACTTCTTTCTATTTGTACAACTGCTCTTCTCTAAACCAAACCTGTTGTCCATGCCCTGAAGGACACTGTGGCCGGAAAAGCACCTCTAAGGAGGGATTCCCCAGTCCCACCATCCATCCCATGAGCTTTTCCCCAGCAGGCTGCCACCCTAACTTGACTCACTGGTGTCCAGCGAGCCATAAACAAATGAACGATTATCGAGACAAGTCACCCCAAAACCGCTGTGCAGCTTGGGAAGGAAAAGAGCTAATCACATGGAGGGTTCTATATTCGCTTCCCAAGGCACACACTGTCCCCACATGGCCAAAAACTACTGTTCCCCTGGGAGGGCCTCTATCCCCTACATGCAATCAAACTATTCCAGCAGTGTGGAAATCGCAGTTACACAAGTGGTTCGACAGCCGCATGCCCCGGTGGGCCTGTACCCCTCCTGGCTATGTGTTTTTATGTGGACCACAAAAAAACAAACTGCCCTTTGACGGAAGTCCTAAGAGAACCTATTCAACTCCCCCCGTGGCAAACCTCTTTACTTGCATTAATAACATCCAACATACGGGGGAATGTGCTGTGGGACTTTTGGGACCACGGGGGATAGGTGTGACCATTTATAACACCACCCAACCCAGACAGAAAAGAGCTCTGGGTCTGATACTGGCAGGGATAGGAGCGGCCGTAGGAATGATCGCCCCGTGGGGAGGGTTCGCTTATCATGATGTCACCCTCAGAAATCTCTCCAGACAAATAGAAAACATAGCTAAGAGTACCGGAGATAGCATCTCTAAACTCAAGGCCTCCATAGATTCTCTAGCAAACGTAGTCATGGACAACAGATTGGCCTTAGATTACCTCTTAGCAGAGCAGGGTGGAGTCTGTGCAGTGATCAATAAAACCTGTTGCGTTTATGTCAATAACAGCGGGGCGATAGAGGAGGATATAAAAAAGATCTATGACCAGGCTACATGGCTCCATGACTTTGGAAAAGGAGGTGCTTCAACAAGGGCCATTTGGGAGACTCTGAAATCTGCCCTCCCCTCCCTCAAATGGTTTGTCCCTTTACTGGGACCAGCAACAGTTATACTCTTACTTTTCCTCTTTGGTCCTTGTTTCTTTAATTTACTGATTAAGTGTGTCTCTTCTAGGATAAAGCAATTTCACATGGAGTCCCCCAAAATGGAAAGATATCAGCTATCTGTCCCTGGAGGCCCCAGCACCTACAAGCACATCTCTCCCTTGGATGCCAGTGGGCGAAGATTCCGGGAAACTATGGAGGGATTTCCTCTCTGAGACAGAGCAAGAGACGGAGACCCTGATGACTTCTTCGCCCCATGTCAGCAGGAAGTAGTTACAGAAGACCCACGACGTCCTTACACCCAAAGCTTTTCAGGGTCTCCATCTCTTGAGGAGGGAAATATTAGGGTAGACAGGTAGGCAGGCATGAGCAGGCAAGAGAGCCCTTGGGAAAGGAATCTTTAGAAACGCAGCCCACTGATAGCTTCCTTGGTGATGCTGCCCACAGTCAGTCAGCACTTCTCTAAAAACCCACCCTAGAACAGCCATTTGCTTTTTTTTTTTTTTTTTTTTTTTTTTTTGAGACAAGTTCTTGCTCTGTCTCCCAGGCTAGAGTGCAATGGTGCGACCTCGGCTCACTGCAACCTCCACTTCCCAGGTTCAATCGATTCTCCTGCTTCAGCCTCCCGAGTAGCTGGGACTACAGGCATGTGCCGCCATGCCCGGCTAATTTTGTACTTTTAGTAGAGATAGGGTTTCACCACGTTGGTCAGGCTAGTCTCAAACTCCCGACCTCAGGTGATCCACCTGCCTCAGCCTCCCAAAGTGCTGGGATTATAGACGTGAGCCACTGCACCTGGCTACTCAGAACACTTCTGAATGGCACGTTCATGAATAATCATGAATTTCATGATTAATCATGATTCTCATAAAAAGCATCTGAACAGCCATTAGTAGAAGACACATCCTTTTGATCAGCCCACCCTGTTCTGTCTTTCTGAGTGTACTGTTTTGATGACTAAAAGCTCCCATAAAAACTAAGGCACTAGCAGCCGGCTCATTCTTCTGAGCAGCCAGTTGAGTCTCTTCTTGATGTCCTCTCGTTTTAAGTAAAGGTTACTTAACCGTTTAACTGTTTCTGTGTGCCTCCTGACTGAATTCCTTCCTTGAGGAAGACCAAGAACTGAAGGATTCCCCACCCCTCGTGGTAACCAAAGGTCTATGAAGGATTCAGTGCATCTAAACTAGTAAATAGAGGCTGGGTGCAGTGGCTCACACCTGTAACCCTAGCACCTTGGGAGGCTGAGACAGGCGGATCGGGAGGTCAGGAGTTAGAGACCAGCCTGGCCAAAATGGTGAAACCCCGTCTCTATTAAAAATACACATATTAGCCAAACATGGTGGCAGCCACCTGTAATCTCAGCTACTGGAGGGGATGAGGCAGAAGAATCGCTTGAACCCAGGAGGCAGAGATTGCAGTGAACTGAGATTGCACCACTGTACTGCAGCCTGGGCAACAGAGCAAGGCTCCATCTCAAATAAATAAATAAATAAACAAACTAGATTTTTTATTTATTTAGTTTATTTATTTATTGTTTAAATAAATAAACAAGCAAACTGCACTCAACTGCCCAAGAAATACTCTTTATTTATTAAATGTTGGGAAAATATAATTAAAGGCAAAATAATTTTCTCCTCACCCAGAAATCCTCTCCACAAAGGAAAACAATAAATTGATAATCCCAGCCCAGTTAGTGGCTGGTAAATGCCTCTACCTTTATCAATACATGTTTTGAAGCAGTCAGTATCTATTTTCTCATGAAAGATGACTCTAGAGAACCTAGTCTTTGCTTTGCCTGGTAGGCGGGGAATACCTTAATCTTATCAGAAATATATAAATTGGCTGGGTGCAGTGGCACACGCCTGTAATCCCAGCACTTTGGGAGGCCGAGGTGGGCAGATCACGAGGTCAGGAGATCAAGACCATCCTGGCTAACACGGTGAAACCCCGTTTCTACTAAAAATGCAAAAAATTAGCCAGGCGTGGTGGTGGGCACCTGTAGTTCCAGTTACTCGGGAGACTGAGGCAGGAGAATGGTGTGAACCCAGGAGGTGGAGCTTGCAGTGAGCTGAGACTGTACCACTGCACTCCAGCCTGGGTGAAAGAGCAAGACTGTGTCTCAAAAAAAAAAAAAGAAATATATAAATTATCTGGTTTTGCACAATATTTACTAAATTTCTCTACTCACCCACTGTGAAGACAGCACAATTTGAAATGGACACCACTCTCTTGTAATGGAACACAGACTCAGCTTCTGCTCCATAACAATAAATAGTAATAGTAATACTAAATGAAATATTAAGTGTTGTGGGAAGTCAGGGATCCCAAACGGAGGGACCGGCTGAAGGCATGGCAGAAGAACATAAATTATGAAGATTTCATGGACATTTATCCCTTCCCCAATCAATACTCTTGTGATTTCCTATGCCTGTCTTTAATCTCTTAATCCCGTCATTTTTGTAAGCTGAGAATATATGTCACCTCAGGACCCTGTGATGATTGCGTTAACTGCATAAATTGTTCGTAAAGCATGTATGTTTGAACAATATGAAATCTGGACACCTTAAGAACAGGGTAACAGCGATGTTCAGGGAACGAGGGAGATAATCTTAAAGTCTGGCTGCCTGTGGGCCGGGCAGGACAGAGCCATATTTCTTTTATTACCGAAAACAGGTAAGAGAAATATCGCTGAATTATTTCCCCAGTAAGGAATATTAATAATTAACAGCCCTAGGAAAAGAATGTATTCCCGGGGGGGGCCTCTAAAATGGCCGCCCTAGGAATGTCTGCCTTTATGAAGATGTAGAAAAGGATGAAACATGCCCTAGTCTCCTGCAGCACCCCCAGGCTTGCTAGGATTAGGAAATTCCAGCCTGGCACATTCTAGTCAGACGGGTTCTCTGCCCTTGAACTTTGTTTATCAATGATAAGTGTACACAGCAGGACATGGAAGTTCATTGGTGATTCTAGTTTCACCCTGATCTTGTGATCTCGCCCTGATCTTCTTCCGCCTTGTGATCTTTTGTTGCTCTTGAAGCATGTGATCTCTGTGACCCACACCCTATTTGTACACACCCTCCCCTTTGAAAATTGCTAATAAAAACTTGCTGGTTGGCTGGGCGCGGTGGCTCAAGCCTGTAATCCCAGCACTTTGGGAGGCCGAGGCGGGCGGATCACAAGGTCAGGAGATCGAGACCACAGTGAAACCCTGTCTCTACTAAAAATACAAAAAATTAGCCGGGCGCGGTGGCGGGCGCCTGTAGTCCCAGCTACTCAGGAGGCTGAGGCAGGAGAATGGCGGGAACCCGGGAGGTGGAGCTTGCAGTGAGCCGAGATCGCGCCACTGCACTCCAGCCTAGGCAACAGCGTGAGACTCCGTCTCAAAAAAAAAAAAAAAAACTTGCTGGTTTTGCAACTCAGGGGGCATCACGGAACCTGCTGACATGTGATGTCTCCCCCAGACACCCAGCTTTAAAATTTCTCTCTTTTGTACTCTTTCCCTTTATTTCTCAGACCAGCCAACACGTAGGGAAATAGAAAAGAACCCACAAGAACTACTGGGGGCAGGATCCCCCGATAATTAAGTAGTTTCATGTAAGTATGTAAACAATTGATGGTTTGATATTATTTTCAGTTTTGCAATTGGTACAAATTACATAAAATAATTTTTTTCTTTCTTTTCTTTTTTTTTTTTTTGAGATGAAGTTTCACTCTTGTTGCCCAGACTGGAGTGCAATGGCATAATCTCGGCTCACCACAACCTCTGCCTCCTGGGTTCAAGTGATTCTCCTGCCTCAGCCTCCCGAGTAGCCGGGATTACAGGCATGCACCACCACGCCCACTAAATTTTTTTGTATTTTCAGTAGAGACAGGGTTTCTCCATGTTGGTCAGGCTGGTCTTGAACTCCTGACCTCAGGTGATCTGCCTGCCTCGGCCTCCCAAAGTGCTGGGATTACAGGTGTGAGTCACTGCACCCGGTCTTTATTTTCTTTCTGAGATGGAGTCTGGCTGCGTCACCCAAGCTAGAGTGCAATGGCACAATCTTGGCTCGCTGCAATCTTCACCTCCCAGGTGGTAACTGTCATGCATCAGCCTCCCAAATAGCTGAGATTACAGGTGCCTGTTACCATGCCAAGCTATTTTTGTAAGTTTTGTGGAGATGAGGTTTCACCATGTTAGCTAGGCTGGTCTCAAATGCCTGACCTTGTGATCTGCCCGCCTCGGACCCCCAAAATCCTGGGATTACAGGTGTGAGCCACTGTGCCCGGCCTCTATCTTAATTTCTTCTGTGTTCATGAGCTTGTGGCATACATGTGGCTCTGAAACAGAAAAGTCAAAGGGCATTTTATGAGCTGGGTATTGGGGATGAGAACCTCCCAATAACAAATGCTTTGGCCTCAGTGATGAGTGAGATGACAATGAGTCTCCACTGTCCTACCTTGGAATCGTGCCTTAGGAATTAGAGTTTTAATTGAAAGAAGCCACCTTAATGGTGTTTGGTTGTTGTTCATTCTCCTCCAGCTGGCAGGAGATAAGGACAGAGTCCTCAAAGCTGCTAGAGAGCTTAAGGTGAATATAAAACATTAAAACTTCATTTACTTGAAAAGCCAGCAGCCAAGAAGCTGCTCAAGATTAATGCCAATGATGTCTTGCTTCCTGGCATTCAGGAACGTTCTTTTCCCCTAACCCTGACTCTTTCCTCCCTCTCTATCCCAATCTCAGTCACTTTAAGGAAATGCTGCATATTCTGAACATTTTGGGGGAAAAGAGAGATTCAAACTTTTGTAGCTCTGTTGGTAAGAGGTCTCGCAACCACCATCAGAGGAGAAATGTTAGGTGCAGGAGTGTCTCAAGCCACCAAGACCTGTGGGACCAAGCATATAAGGGGCCCGTAGGAAGAAGCCACGGAGCCTCCGGACCCTCCAGATGCTGGGAGGTACATGGAACAGTAAGCAGTATTATGCTTGTATCAAGCACTCAAGGACAAAATAAGGCCACCTAGCTGTCCCAGCCTTCCCTGACATGATTTTCACCTATGGCTCTGGGTTTCTTTGGGGACCTTCAACATAAATGTAATTCCTCCTTCTCCTTCATAAGCTCAAAATAAGAATAGGTTTGCTAGCAGTCTTTTTTTTTTTTTTGAGACGGAGTGTTGCTCTTAACGCCCAGGCTGGAGTGCAGTGGTGCGATCTCAGCTCGCTGCAATCTTCATCTCCTGGGTGCAAGCAATTCTCCTGCCTCAGCCTCCCAAGTAGCTGGACTGCAGGCGCCCACCACCACACACACAGCTAATTTTTTGTATTTTTAGTAGAGATAGGATTTCACCATGTTGGCCAGGCTGGTCTCAAATTCCTGACCTCAAGTGATCTGCCCACCTCGGCCTCCCAAAGCGTTGGGGTTACAGGCTTGAGCCACCGCCCCCAGCCGGCTAGCAGTCTTTTTAAAAAGACTGGTGCCGGCCGGGCGCGGTGGCTCAAGCCTG